AAAAAAAAAAAAAAAAAAAAGTATCATAAATGGGGGATAAGAAACCAATCTCCCTTGCATAACAATTTCAAATAATTTGCATAGCTATTATGCCCTAAGTGCGAGTTCCTTGCTAACAGTACAGTATGGGAAAGGTGGGACAAAATAAAGTGGAGAAGCCTGACGAACAACACCAGGTGCCAAATGATCAAGGACATCAAGTCATAATCACATTCCCAATGGTTTTTTTTATTGGTTTACTTGTATTTTTTGAGACAATGTCTCGCTCTGTAATTCAGACTGGCCTTGAACTCACTACATAGCCCAGGCAGGCCCGGAATTTGTGGCAATCCTCTTGCCTCAGTCTCCATAGTGCTGCGATTTTAAGCATGCACTCTTGATATAATGTAATAAAAACATCACTTCTGTGATCTTCCTCCCCAAACCCACATTCCAGTGTAATCACTCGCTCTTGCATGGCGGCAGCCCTCACACTGCAGGGTGCACTGCTTCTCCTACTTTTACTTGGCCTACACTTGCTCCACCGAGCCTGCTTCTTTTCCTATCTTTAATAAGACTTTGCTACCCTTAAAAAAAAACTCAACAAATTCTAAAACAAGAGCTTCCCATAATACACTTGATCAGTACTCCTTAAAAATGTCAAGGTCCTCAAAACTAGGTATGAGGGGGAGAAACTGTTACAAAAAGAGAGGCACATTGACTTCGGTTAACAACAATGTATCAATATTGGTTTACACATTGCAACAAAGAGACTGGAGTCATCTGAGATGTTAACAATAGCTAAATTGTGCAGGGGGGAGGGACTAGAAGTGAACTCTGTACTCCACAATTGTTCTGTAAATCTAAACCTGTTCTAAATTAAATTTATTAATCAGAAAAACCTAAAACGTTCAAATTTTTAAATCAGGGAAAATCATGGATGAATCTTAAAAATCTGAAAAAGCTACAGACATATTGTATGATTACAATTATGTGACATTCTGGGAAAGGCCAAATTATAATCTGTAAACAGATCAAAACGAAAAGCAAGGAAATTCTGAGAAACTCTCACAGTTACAAGGAGTCAAAGAGGACCACAAAATATAAGGTGACATTCTGGGTAGGATCCTAGAACAGAAAAAGGTCATCAGGTAACTGAATCAGATGTGGTTTTCAGTTACTAATGTATCCATACCGGTTCACTAATTGTGACAAATGTTCTATGCTAGCATGCTAACAATATTGGGGCATATGGAAACAGCAATATCCATACAGTAATTCTGTAAGTTAAAAACTTCTAAAATTAGGTTCATTAACAAAAGAAAACAAAAATCCCCCTATGTTGGAAGGTATGTTAGTGTTAGGGTGTTTCCTAAAATGAGGTAGGAGCACTTTCTGTTTGTAGGAAGTGAAACCTGAATAAAAGACCTCAAACTCTTCCCCAGCTGACTACTGATGAGAGACACACAGGGTCGAAAGAGAATCAAGCAGCATGATGTGGGAAAATGCACCAGGGCTGGCACGAAGTGCTTTCTGTATTAGCCAAGCTGCAGCCCAGACTGCTCATACAATGTGCCCTAAGTCCACAGCCAGTAAATAATGGGCCAGCCTACAGTCCAAGTCCCTCTGACCCTAGCTGCTTATAGGTGCCACTGAGCCTGGGAAGAACATCGAGGTAGACACCAAGACATCCAGGCCAAGCCCTGGCTTACTGCCCCCACACAGGGCTCCATATCCTAAAATTCCACCCCTCACTAGGCACAAAAGACAAGTGAGTCAACTCAGGGACAAGCCAACTAAAACCACAGAATGAGCTCTCAGCCATGATCTATGATAACTACCTAATTTTTTGTTTGTTTGTTTTTTGAGGCAGAATCTCACTGTCAGTTCAAGCCAGTACTTCAGGCTTGCCTTGAACTCACTATGTAGTCCAGATTGGCCTCAAACTCATCATAATCCTCTTGCCTCAGTCTCCTGAGTGCTGGGATTACAGGTGTGAGACACCACACCTGGCCAAGTCTCTAATTTCCTGTAGATGTGAGACCTCCGGGGAGACCCTGAGAGGAGAAAGGTATTTTTGTCCATAGCTAGCAGCCATCCTGGGCACAGGGACCCACTTACCCCTGGTTTGAATGATGGCAGGCCCAGCCCCACACCAATAGTGGCCTTGTTAGGATTCACCACTGAATTATAGTGGATATTCCGGTGATAGCTGACACGGATGGGTTCATCCTCATTTTGATGGATCCCATGGAATGTGTTGATAGGTTCTGCAGAGAATGAAAAGGAGGGAGCATCCACAGAGAGCCAGGTATGGCAGGCAGAGACCAGGCACCCTTAGTCCCTCACCTACCCACTCCAGAAGTACCTGTGCTGTACTGGTACACCTCCACAGGACGATTGTACATCTCCGCCATGGCCTGCATCTCAATGTGGTTCCCGTGGCAGTTGTTTTTCCGCTTCCGGTTGATGTAGGTGGTGAAGTCTTCTGTGACATAGTTGGAGAAGTAGTCAGCGTTCTTCATCTGCAGAACAGATTGAGAGGTCAGAATGTACATGCAAAGGAGATCCCTCAACCCGTCTCTAAGCAAACACTAAACCAGCGCCTCACCAGATAGTCCATGCAGTGCTTTCGCACCACTTCGTGCATGTCCTGGTCTCCATACACCTGGTCAGCTGGGGGACAGAAGAAAGAAGAGGCTAGGGTCAGAGCTGCCACCACAGAGGTTTTGAGTCATAGAACATCTTTGAAGGAGGGGAGGCTAGGGGATGAGGGAAACTCCCTTTCCTACCCCAAGGCCTGGAGAATCCTTGCCCCTGTGAGCTGGAATGGGTCGTGGAAAAAAAGGCACATAGGGACAGTCTTGACCAAAAGAGTACAGGCAAGACTGCCACAACAACGGGTCTCCAAGCACATGACCATGTAGGGTACACCTGATCCATCAGCCACATAGATAACCTTCTCAGTCCAGTAAGTTGCACAATCCATTCCATACTCAATTCCCACATGAGGACACTAAAGCTGAGGGAAATTTCATGGTTTGCCCAAGGTCACAGAGACTCAATCTGTGCCAAGGCCAACTCTGGAATTCAGTTTTCCTCAGACCCAGGAATCAGCATAGCCTTTTCAGGTTAAAATAAAAAAAATTAGCCAGGTGTGGTAGTACGTGCTGCAATCCCAGCACTCAGGAGGCTGAGGCAGGAGAATTGCTTTGAGTTTGAGGCCAGCCTGGGCTACAGAGCGAGTTCAAGCCCAGCCTGAACTACATAGCGAGACTCTGTCTCAACCCCCTCAATCATCCAATCAATAAATGAAAATAGGGGCTGGGGATTTAGCTCAGCGGCAAAAGCGCCTCCCTGGCAAGCGCAAGGTCGTGAGTTCGGTTCCTGGTACCGGAGAAAAACCAAAAAAAAAAAAATAAAAAAATAAATAAATAAATAAATAAATGAAAATAAAATGAAAGGAAATGACTAGCTAGGAATGCAGCTCGGGTAGAACGTGCTAAGCAAGAAGCCCTTGGTTCGGTCCCCAGCACCAACGAAGAAAGAAAAGAACAAGGAAAAAAGAAAAGGAGGTATGGGTCAAGAAGGCAAGGAAGGAAAAAAGAGAGAAGGGGAGGAGAGAGGAGGGACGAGGAGGGGAGAGGAGGGAATGGGAGGAGCAGAGGAACCCTAAATCCAGTTCCCCCAGATACTAGTGTGCTTGGTGGCCAAGGCCAAGTGACTCAAGAGTGCTGAGCCTTGTAAGTCTCAACTGTAAAACTGGAAACAAGATGGATAAGCAGCTAGCAGGCCTCTTGTGGAGCTCAAAAGAGTAACACACACAACGTGACTAGCAGTGGGCTTTCGGCAGCTAAGTCACTAGGTAAATCAGGGTCTCCTCTGTAGTGGGGCCTGAGAAGGTGACAGATACAAGTAAAATCCTGTACCCACCTTCAAGAAGCACAGTCGAGTAGGAGATATAACACATATGCAATTCATCTTAATTCAGGAAGGGCAGCTTATGGCCCAAATGATCCAGGTGCCATGAGATTTGGTCAAACTAAGTAGAAGCAACCAGACTCCCTCTGCCAGCTTGATCACTGTACACGCTGTTCTCTCTCCTTAGGACCTTCTTTTTTTTCTTTTCTTGTCTTTTTGAGACAGGGTCTGGCTATGCAGCTCAGGCTGGCTTTGAGCTCACTTTGTAGCCCAGGCTGGTCTCAAACTCTCAAGGATCCTCCTGCTTCAGTCTCCTGAGTGCTAGGATTACAGGCGAGTGCTGGGATTATAGGCGTACGCCACCACTCTTTTTTAGTTTTTTGAGAAAGGATCTCACTATGCAGTTTAAGCTAGCCTTGAACTCACTATGTAGCTAACACTCCCCTCAAATTTGTGACAATCTTTTTGCCTCAGCCTCTTGAGCTGGGATTACAGGCATGTGCCACCACACCCAGTTTAGGACCCTCTTTCCATTTACTTCATTGCCTACTTCTGAAACACCAGTGTGTTCTTACTCCGTGTGTGTGTGTGTGTGTGTGTGTGTGTGTGTGTGTGTGTTACCAGGGCTCGAACCAAGGGCCTCGCACATACTAGGCAAGCACTGTACTACTTTTACTGACCCACACCCCGGTAGCCCATGTTTCCTTGTTTGCTTGTTTTTTGGCAATACTAGGGATTGAAGTCAGGGCCTTCACACTGCCCTATCTCCTCATTCCTTTCTTATTAGAGACAGAATCTCACTAAGTTGCCCAGGCTGGGCTCAAACTTGCAACCCTCGTCTCAGCCTCTCAGAGTACCGGGACTACAGGCGTGCACTAGCATCCCTGCCTCCACCCCTGCCCACAGGTATCTTTAGCATACTTCCCCACCCCCAGGGCACCTCCTTCACTGCATTTCTCAAAGGTTCTGACCCACAGCAGAGGGCAGTTCTCCTAGGCCCACTCCCAGCGCAGGCCCCACTACAGCAAAGGAAAGCAGGGACAGTTTGTAGAGCCCATAGGCTGGGGAAGCAATGGGAGCACTTCTCTCTAGGAAATTAAAGTGGCCTTAAATATTAAGCAAGCCTGATTTCCACTGACTATCACCAAGAGGGAATTTCCCTCTGTTTCCCCCGAGGGCCACTGCTCTAATGGGATCTCCCTGGGGCTCCAGGGCAGGGTCGGGGCACAAAGGGAACACTACAGAGCTCTTCCATGCCCAGCAGTCTAGCTCTCTGAAGACCTGCCAAAAGAAGGCCTTGACTATCCGCGCCTTCCCTCCATGGAGGGTTTGGGGCGATAAGAGACAAAGGCTGCTGAGATACTGGCTGCCTGTTTCAAGTCCCCCTGGAGGTGATAAGAGCTCGAGGGTGGGGGAGTTGGCTGTGAAGGCGGGAAGGGGTAGCCCCTTCACCGATGTAAACAAGGATGTGGCTTCTGCGGCCACACACTCCCCGCCACCCCCCAGGCATTTCCAGCAAGTCACATGTCCTAAACACAGGCTGGGGGCCCCCTGCCGCTGCCTTTCTTAGAAGCCAGGACCACAGAGCCCTCTGTGGCTGCCCGGGCTGCTAGAGGAGCTATTTCTGTAGGCTGAGCTTGGGGTACCAGCAGGCAGTGCTGTCTGCAGCTGCAGTAAACAGGAACTGAGACGGAAGTGAAGGAGTTAAACGGGGTCCATAGCCAGGCTCAGGTGTAGGAAAAAACATCCCTCCTATGGAAAGGTCGGTGAACACTGGCCGGTATGGAAGCCAGATGCAGGAAAAATTTTTTAAAAAGGCAGAGGGAAAGGGGCGGGGGCAGAACCCATGAAGCTCTTCCCCTTTTCCATGCCAGTGACTCCATCACTTGGCAGCAAGGCCCTGCCATTCGCTGGCTGTGTGACACTGGACAAGGCCTTTAACCTCCCTCAGCTGAAATGTCCTTACCCATAAAGTAGGGACAGTAACTTCTTCCCCTGAAGGGGTGCTTGTTGTCAAGACTACAAGTGAGAGCCCCACTTGTCATGGAGAGGATGACTCCATCATACTGCTGCTACCTACAGATCAGCCCGCCTGCTTCTAGGTGTTTCCTCATTTCTGCTGCACTTCCTCTGCCGGAGGAAAGCCCCAAAAGCAGAGTGGAGGCTGTCCTTCCCCCTGTCAGCACGGCTGGCTCTCCTCTCTTGCTGAATCCAAAGGTCCACAAGCCTACCCTCTGTGCCCTTTGATTAAGACTTTAGCAACTAAATTCGTATCACACTAGTAATAGTCTTCCCAATGTGGTTCCCCTACTCCCGTTTTGTTTTTTTGAGACAGGGTCTCGCTATGTAGCTCAAGCTGGCCTTGGATTCACTTTATAGCCCAGGCTGGCCTCGAACTGCCAATGGTCCTCCTGCCTCAGCCTCCGGAGTGCTGGGACACAGGCCTGCATGTGCCACCACGCCTGCTAAGGCCTCTTTTTTTTTTTTTTTTTT